CGCTCCGATTTTCGCAACTATGCCTTGTATCCTTGTGTTAACAAATCAGCAACAGGCGGACATGCTTCTAGATGGCACCGTCAGACGTTATGGACAGCGTTCATTTCGGCGACTTCGCCAACAGCGCTAGTCGCCAGTGTCGATGTTGTAATTTTGACTGTTTTAAAGTCGGTCACACGACCACCGTCTTTGCCTGAACACGTCCTGCATATGCCGACTGGCTGGCCGGATGGACGGACGGATGGCCGGACGGACGTAACGTGGTCAGACCAGGTTTCGTCATACAATCATCGGTCGCCACTCGCCGTGCCACTTTCATCCGCTGGTCATCTTTCACGCGGTTGTTCTTGTGTTTGCGTGTCTGTTGTGATCACATTCAGCCGTTTGCATAAGCGGCATTTTCCTGGTTTGTGATGCATGCACTGTTGGCAGTTTTTCAACGCTTTGGCTACTTTACAACGGTTACTGTATCGTAGAAGAAACAGTTCTTTCACGATAGCAGGTTTTCTGTGTTTGTCCATTTTGCAGGCCGAACTTCTGGTCGACGTCTGCCGTGAATCGGTTCCCGATAAAAGCTCTTGGGCCGGAGTAAACAGTTTATGCTTTTAAAAATTGTCTAACAGTCAGTCTCATTTTATTGGGTTCTGCGTACAATGACGAAACGCACTCCAGGAAGCGATTTGGTTTTATCTTTATGTGGTCCTGCCATGTACCTTCATTGCGTATCTAAACCAGCGCTGCTCTACGTTATCCCCATGTCGTGTAGCAGCCCTGAACTGACCGTAGCAAGTTACAGGAGGATTTTTGTGGAAGACCATTTTTTTTCTGAGCCGAAATATTTGATAGGATGCGAAAAGCACCGAGACCAAGGACGTAATCGTTCTGGTTTTTAGGCATTGCCGTCGCTGGAGGTAATGGAACCAAGGTATTTAAACTGGTATACCTCTTACAGCGTTTCACCTCCTTGTTCCACTTGCAGCTTTGATTGCGGAATGGGGTTCTCTTAACTTTTGACCTCTTGGTGTTAAATAAGTGCCCGGTTTCGCAGCTGTATTGCCTACGAAAACAATCAGGTGACGAAGCTCGCCTCTTACTACTCACCAGGCTAAATATAATCCATGTTTGCTTTAGGTCAGCATGACATCTGACCGAATATATTGAATTGTGCATGCCCACTAGAATGAGACTCTTGCCTTTGTCATAGTTGGCACTGTTTGGAATGCGTCGCTGAAGGTACATTGCCGTGGCGAATTCTATATTTACTTGGGACCAACTCAGATAGCTCTCCATCAATATTATTGGCGCATTTGATGCTTATAACAGATCTTCCGAAAAGGAAACGCTCTTTTACGTAGCGCGCTTCAATCGACTAGCTTAACTAGCGCCCGTCGAGTTTTGCGTCCTACTGAGGAGGAGCATTCGCGAGGCGTTTAACTTCTACTCACCATTTATGGCCGCCATTTAACATCGTATGCCAGACAGCAGATTGCAGGTTGAAGTAGGCGATCAAGCCGCAACCAAGCGATCATCCGTTTTCCGTTTCGTTTTCTTTCCCTTCCTTTCCCTCTATTTTCATCGTGATCAGGATGATCAACGACTCAACGCATTG